GCGTCGGTGCGAGCCCGGGATCCGAACCCGGGTCGCCAGCAGTGGAGCGCGCTCACTTAACCACCAAGCCACGGGGCCGGCCCTAATATGTACTTTTGAGGAAAAGAAAAGACAATGACAAAACAATTCCTATACCCTTTTGGTGTAGATGTTTCTTGAGGAAAAAAATAAGGTAATCTCATCTTCTAGAAACACATGTTTCTGTATCTAAACTTCTATCTAAACTTCTCACCTCATCCTCAGATGAATCCTTTCATAAAATGAAGGCTCACATTCCAGTATGAGTAATTACCATTCCCCTGCCCCAAATATATCTGGTTTATAAATACTTATTAAATTTTAAATACTTATTAGCTCTTCTTAAACCCAAACCCAACTCCACTGGCGTAATTGGCAGAACATTCCTAAGAACGTTGGTTCCTAAGTGTTGGCTTCGGTTGGCCTGTATAGAAATCGATTCAAGAAGAGTGAAGACAGATTTAGAATATAAATGACAATTATGAATGACACTTTAGCAATAGTCTTTTTATGAGTAATGAGAGCTTTAAATATAAATAACTGAACAATCATAATGAGTATTTTACAGAACTACTTTTTGTGGTTTATTGGTAATTACTTCCTTGTAGCAAGGATCTTGGCATTTGCAGAAATGATTTTTCAAATTATGATTTCAGAAAAAGAGAAATTCTATCATACAAAGTAAACTTTTTGTTCTAAAAATTGTCATCCGTCAGGGTTGAGTCAAGAAAACAGAAACTATGTTAATTATTTCAAACAGAAGGAATTTAATACAAAATGGGTTAGTACAGGATATTGGAAGGCTGAAAGAGCAAGAAGTTGATGTTGACATAAAGAACAACTACCGTATTTAAGGTTGGAGAGAATAAAAGAGAAGAAGCGGTATTATCGGAACCTAGGATCTTGGAGAAGTCTCTGGAGGACTGATGCTTAGAGCTCTGGTTGATGCATGAAGCCCATGGTTAGGGCTGGGATAGCCAAAGGGGTGGAAACAGCTGGTGCTCAGACTACCATGGGGGGTGGGGCAGGGCACCCATGGCTGCTGCTGCCAGCTCTGATGGGGTACAGCAAAACAGAAGCATTACTGTGCACTGCTGCTGGAGAGATGCCAACTCAAGCTGGAAGTATTAACTAAGTTTCCTTCTTAGTACCTCCCACCTTCCAGTCTCTGGCCAGTGCCTTTCACTAGTGGTACCTAATGGAAAGCCAGTTGGCAAGGGAGCCTGGGACAGATATGACTCCTAGTCCCAGCCTACAGGGCAGTGTTTAAATAGGTAGGCTTGGAGCTAACAGGCAACAGATAAGTGGCAAAAGTATCTTATGTTTAAGCAAAATAAAGTAGAACTTGGATCTTCAGGGATTTACACTTTCAACTGTATATAAGCAGCCTGCTAGTCTATAACACTGTAATTTGTAATTTTCTTAAGGCACAGATTCAAATCATGTACCTTTAGGCTGGTATGCCGAGTGATTTGGCTGCTAAGCCCAACATCCTCATTCCAGCCAAGTTTTCTTGACCTCTATTTTTGTCACATGGACTACAAGCTTGTAACCGTTCAACATTTTTGTGTTGGTGATGGAAGTGAGGGAGGAATGAAGCCCAAGGATGTAAGGAACACAGCAGGGGGTCAGCCCTATAGTTGGTGAATTCACTGTAAATTTCATAACAGAGACTCCAAGCTGGTGGTTCATGGATGTATCTCGTCTATAAGATGAGTTGATTTTGTTGTTATTACTTACAAATTGGGGAATGTAACATTAAATTGAGATTTTCAGGGTTTTTAAAAGAAATTGGAAGATCCAGCTACAGTGGGCCCACATTCCCTCAAAAAAGTAATGTGCTGAATTTGAGTAGTGGCTGCCTCCTGTAGACGGGGAGATACCCTTCAGTCCTCCGCAGTTCCACTTGCCTTCATTTAGTCACTTTTATTTACCTGTCTGCTCCCTTTAGGCATCTGAATTGCAATCCCTGCTCTATATGCAAAAAGAAAGTGATTCACGAAGCCATCTTAGTGAGTCCCCTAGAAAGTACAAACATTGCGTTTTCTGTGGGAAATTTTATGTTCAGAGGCTCTTTCAGTTAGGATTCCTTTGGTTACAAGTGACATAATTTGAATCACCTTGGCAAAAGTGAATGTATTGATTCCCGTTGCCAAAGTGCTTAGACAATGATGGGGGATGCCCTAGGGATGACTGAAATCAGAGATTTTGTGACAACTTTATTTTATACTGTGACAAGGCTGGGATGGTGGATGCTCATGTCCTTCCTGATCAGATAGGAACAGGGCCTCTCCTAGTAACAGTGAGAAAAAAAGAAATCCCGGAAAAGACAAATTGAGTCCCCAATGGGTATCTTGTGTGGATATCTTGGGACCAATCCCTACAGGGGAGATTGGATACTCGTGCCCACTGGGGTCAGTTCCCTTTCAGAGCAGTCTCTGTGGCAGGGAGGTAGGGTCAGCCGCAT